TATGTGTGTGTGTGTATGTGTGAGTGATGTATGTGTGAGGTGTGTGTGTGTGTGCGTGTGTGTTTGTGTGAGTGTGTGTGTGATGTACGTGTGAGAGATGTGTGTGCGTGTGTGATGAGTGTGAGGGAGGACAGGATGTGAGTGAGTGTATGTGTGTGTGTGTGATGTATGTGTGAGTGATGTGTGTGTGTGTGGACAGGCGGGAGGAGGCGGGAGGAGAAGGAGCGGATACAGCACTAAAAACAAAAACCCCACACGTCAATGTGGGGAAAAATGCATCTTGCATCGTCTTTCACGGCAAATGCGATCACACGTGTCAAAATCCAAGGAATCAACTGCAACTCCAAATGCTGTTCCTCGCAGGACATCTGCGTTTGCAAATCCTTCCACCTTGGGCGTTCTTGCAATTGCTTTGCGAAAATTCAAGACACAGGTCTTGCGAGCAGGGCAGCAGTATCATTTTGACAGGAAATTTCCAGCATGTGAATTTCCTCTTGTGGAGAACAACAACTTGGGCCTAGACCGAAGCTCCAGACAGCATCTCTTGAATAATCCTTGCGCTACAAGTTCAAACTCTAGGACACAGTACAGCTTTTGGTGGCAAAAGTGAAACCAACGCTAGGCGAATGTTCTGGTATTTTTGTGGTATGCATTTTCAAAGTCTCTCGTCGCCTTCCTATGCCATTTAATTTTTCCGCTCGGCCCAGAGACTTTGACTCTTTGACCAGGTGGACCTGCATGCATTTTCTTTCACTACAGGTGTATCCTTCTGGGCTTGATCATCAGAAGCAACTTACTTTTTTCATGGCTCCCAGTGAAAGTATTACTTGAGGCCAAAGGTAAGGGGGGGCGAAAACTAGTTGGGCAAGGAGAGATGCGTATTGAGAGAATGCGTGGCGCGACCTTTTAAGTGTCATTTTTTGAGCTGAAATAAGCTACCATTCGATGTCGCTGACACGCGAACAGCAGCGTAGCATTATATCCTTGCTCGCATGCACCATAATCATTCCACAACCCCCCCTGACATCCCAGCATACCAGCGTCAATATCCGCTCCTAGTACTCTACTTGCAAAATACAACGTGCCCAAAAGGAACGCGCTTCGGCTGAGCCACTTTGCAACCATCTGATTGAAGCTCTTTCCTTCGGCCTTTTCTTCCTTATTCCTTTCTGTGACAAAAATAGTGCGTATATATATATATATATATCGATAGACATACTTATGTCTATGATGAATGTATCTAAGTATCTCTATCTGCCTAGCTACATATCGATATCTCTGTAGTCTATATGTGTACCTATAGACAGATGGATAGACAAAGAGATAGAGATAGATATGGAGACGGGGATGGAGATAGAAATAGAGATAAAGATAAAGTAAAGATATAGATGCAAATGTAGATGTCCACTATACAAAAACCAAGCCTTAGAATTCGGTAACTTTGGTGATGTTTCCATGCAGACCTATTGAGGAAATGGAATGCAAGACTCCGAGTGGTTGTTCTCTCATCGCATTACATTTACAAACTACACTTACACCATATTTAAATTACAATCAAATGACATTACGTTACATTATATTTAGATTAGGCTAGATTTGCATTACCATAGGTTACATTACATTAGATTAGTTTGGATTGCCATGCATCAGATTCGATTACGTTAGATTACATTAAATTAGACGGCGTTACATTAGATTACATTGCATTTACATTCAGAACACTCACGGTGAATGCCGTCTTGTATATGTGTGTGTGGGCATGCGAACCTGTGGTCACACATGAAACCCAGCGGGATGGACACTGCGCGGTTTGAGCCCGAGGTGGGGTCACGGTTCGACGTGATTAATCAGCTCGAACAACGGGGCCCCAAAACCATGGAAGCTGCATCCAGTCCGCCCCCAAATCATTAACTCCAGCTAGCAAGCTAGCTTCGTGATGAGGCAAGCAAGCACAAGCTTGCGGATGATGTATATGAATTGCAAACATGGCTGAGCCTAGGTTAGATGCTTACGATTCTTCAACGCAAATACGCAGAGATCCTTCATGTCCACATCGGCTCGCGACATGAAATTGTCATCCTTTTGCACGACCCCCACCTGCTCTTCTGGCCGTGGCGTTGAGGCTGATGCTGCTTCTCTTGCTTCGGCGTTTTGGTCACCGCGCTGTCAAGGATGTCACGGGAGGTCCTTGTCGTTGTCATTGCTAGTAGCGTTGGCGTTGTCATTCTTTGTGGTCGGGGGTGTGGTGGGTCGTTTGAGACTGTTTCAATTCCCGTCGTTGTTGCAAGTGTAGCTGTTGCTGTCGCCATTCTTATCGTTGCTGTGGCTGTTAACGTTGAAGTTGGACAAGTTAGAGTTGTTGCCACTGCGCTCCTGTTGTTTGTGTTCTTCCTCTACCTCCTCTACTTCCTCTATTTCCTCTACTTCCTCTACTTCCTCTACTTCGGGTTCTTCTTCTTCTTCTTCTTCTTCATATTCTTCTAGTGGTCGTTGCTGCCGCACTGGGAATACACAATTACAGATATTACAGTATCATCTTCGCCCTTGTCCTCAATCTCGTTGTGGATAATGGGCATGGGAGTAGAAAGATCTTCATGGGCATTCTGGCTGTGCAGCTATCGTTGTGATCGTCGGCATGATCTAGTTACTCGCGGCTGCCGCTAATCCTTCTAATGGTTTGTAGTGATGTGCCCTCTTTGGTTCGGTACGTCTTCTGGGTATATTCTTTTGTGGCGCAAAAAAACACAACTCAACCACAAAACAAACATGTTAACACAGGGGGGAAGTGTTTTTTTTCGTATAATGCTTACTATAATTCCTCTTCGCCTAGCAATTTGTTTGGCGCTTCCCGTTCCAAGTCAAGATTTCTTTTTTTGTTGGCATTGTTCTCCTTGCGCCTGTGAAGTGAAGACTTGCTTCAGTACATGTTCAATCTGTAGTTTGTTTTCTTTCTATGGGGGGCCATGCGTTGCCTTCAAACAGCCTGGTGCTGAATGTTTAGACGCTCATCCTGCCCATCCCTGACCTATCAGGTTTCTCTGCGGTCGCTTTCCAAAGCTCAAAGGTCCAGAATGAGAGGCAGCCTGGACCGTACAACAAAGCAAGTTGCTTAAACATTGGGCCAAGATGCGACTGTGTGTATGCTGCGAGCTCCTTTGCAACCTGACCCAGTGATCCCAATCAACAGAATTGACAAAAACCGCGGAACAAAACCTTCATCTGATCTCTCGATCTCACGAAGATACCCCGAGGCTACGGCTCGCTCCGAAGCTTCGGAAGGCCTTTGTGTCAAAATCGTTACAAACCATTTTTTTGCATAAAAAATGATGCGTTCCAAAGTGATATGGATGTCAGTGCTCCTCTTTGGTTCCTGTGACAACATTACGCAACTCATTGTTCTTGAGTGAGGAAGGTGGAAAGAAAATTGAGAACCTCTTCTTGACCATATCTCACGGATTGGAAATTGCCTAATTCCAAGACAGTCATGCAATGGCAGGTATTCATCCAAATTTCTGATTTCGACCAAATAGGGTGGAAGGCAAGAATTCATAACAACACCCAATGGGACACGGAAAAAAGGCCGGGAAATTTCCTGTTTTTGGGTTTTCATGTGTATAAATGGCACCGCATAATGTTTGTATATTCGAATCGCTTTGCGATGAGAACTGCCCGCGCCCAGGGAATAGGACAGAGAGGAAAGAAGCGGGCGTGCTTAGGACCCAATTGGTCCTGTTGGGCTGAAGTTGGGGCCAAAGCAATCCAGATGGACCCCAAATTGAAGCCATGTGATGCACATGGAAGTCCAAGTCAGGTGCAAAGTGGAGAAGTTTGGGACCCTTTGGCGCCAGCTTCACACCAAGTTGGGCGCAATGACACACACATCATGGGGAACATTGCTTCAAAGTGTTGAAGATACCAGTGAAAGCAAGCATTTTGAGGATTTCGTATTGGGCCGGCTGTGTCCACCATTTTGAAGCCATATGGACCTCAACTTGGGCCGAAGTTGCTCCCAAATGGGTCCAAGTTGGGGCCACGTTGCGCCATCTTGGAGCCAAGTTAGTTGGGCCGAAGTTGGGGCCTTGCTCGCCGAAGTTGACCCCAAGTCGGGCCAATGCTGCGGACATGTTGGATCGAAACGGCGCATTTGGACGATGTTGGGCCGATCTGCAAAACGCGCAAATTACCACCGTCGCGTGCACTTTTCTTGGCGCCCTGCTCTGTCGAAAATGCCCCACCCCCAGCTGAAGCTGTACCAGTCTGACAGATCTGTCCGTTTGTATCCCTCGCTGCTAAACTACCACGCCTTGGCACCTCCGGTGCGGGCAGGTTTGCAAGCATCCAAACCTATCTCTCTGGGTGGAGAGACTATCGGATATACAAACGTACATACGTACATACGTACATACATGCATGCATGCATACATGTATATGTATATATATATATGTAAATGTATGTGCACATGTATATGTATATGCATGTGCATATGCATGTGTATACGTGTATGTATACGTGTATACGTACTAGTGTATGTAAATGTAAATGTATATGTAAAAATATATAGGTATAAGTATATGTATATGCATATGCATATGTCAATTTATTTGTATATCGCCCGAAATTGTATATGTGCGCGTGGGCGTACATCATGGGCAAACATGTAAACGGATATGTTTTTATGTATACATGCAATCATCAGCAATATGCACACATAGAATCATATACAAGTAAGGCCCTTCAGAAAGGCAAATTTGCGTATAGGAGTTCGGATGAAGCCTCGAATCTTCTCAATTCTTTTCTGCCTTTGCCCTCATCTTTTCTGGCCCCTTTTCCACTCTTCTCAACCCTTCTCAATTCTTCGCAGCTCTTCTCAATTTTCCCAAGCCTTCTCAACTGTTCTCATTTTTGTTCGTCCCTTCCCACCTCGGCTCAACTCTTCTCACCTGTCACCTCGTCTCGCCTCTTCTCAACTCTTCTCACCTCTTCCCATGTGTTCTCAACCCTTCTCAATTCTTCGGAACCCTTCTGAATTCTTCTAACTCACTTCTCAACTCAACCCGACTCAGCTCAACTCTTGCTACCTCTCCTCAACTCTTTCTCAACTCTTTTCAACTCTTCCCAGCTACTTTCACATCTTCTCAAGATTTCTCAAGTAGTTTTACATCTTCTCAACTATGCTCACCTCTTCTTACCTCTTCTCAGCTCTTCTCACCGCTTCAAAACCTCTTCTCTTCTTTCTGGGCTCCACAAATTCAAGTATTATTTGCGGCAACAGAAATTGCAGCTCCAGAGCCGGAGGGGTCTCGGAGTCAAAGCAAAAAAGAACAACATAATCATCGCAACCCTGATGCAGCCATTCCATTAGGTTTTACGCTGCCCAGTTGAAAAAGACCAGAAGACTACGCACGCAAACGCGGCACCAAGCAATCTTGATGCTGCCAGTCCACCGCGATCTGCAGAGACTGAGCTGCAAAGCGCTAAAAAAACTACTTGCCGCCGCCGTGGAAATTCAAGCTCCAACACCGGCTCGGCGCCAAAGCGAAAAAATATACGATTTTGGAGCACCTGTCTAAAACAATAAATGGACAATGATCAACGCCAAAAAGAAAACAAACCGCCCGAAACTCATCTTCGCAACCTTGATGCAGCCACCCCAATAGGATTTAGAAACGCCCGTGCGATTGCAAAAGGCTATAGAACTGCACACCCAAGGAACCTTGATGGAGCCACCTACTGCGATCTGCAGGTGCTGCATTGCAAACCACCACAGAACTACGCGCGGTGAAAACGGAAATTGCGGCGACAGAACCGGATCTCGGTGCCAAAGCGAAAAAAAATACGATTTTGAAGTAGTTTTCAGAAAGAATCTCAAAAAGGAAAATGAACAGCCCAAAAAAACACCAGAAACCCATCATTGCAACCTTGATGAAGCCACTCCCATACGATTTATGATGCCCGTGCACTTGCAAAAGACCATAGACGCGCACACGCGGCCGCAACACCAAGGACCCTTGATGTAGCAGTCCCAATGCACCAAGGAGCTCGGCACTCGCAAAATAGCAAAGCACAGCTTGAACAGCAAGACAACAAAAGCCACCTGGAGACCTCAGTTCCAATCCACGCACGTTTCGAGCAAGATTCCACTGCGAGGCGACGATGTCCGCAAGCAGCGCGCAAGCGAGCATCTTGTTTTCCGATCTGTGACGTGCGTTTACCCGAAAATAAAACAAGGTTTCGCGCAATTCCTATAACATGTAGATCATCGTTTACGCAGCAGTTCCAATGACATTGAGTTGCAAAACGCCAAAGAATCAGAACAGAAACATCATTCTACTCTCCTCTTCCCTTAATCTCCTCGACTCGACCCGGCCCCCCCGCCCTTTCACTCGCCGCCCCTCCCGCCCCTCCATGCTCCCGGCCCCTCCCCTTTGCTCCGCTCCACTCCACCCGACTCCACTCTACTCTTCTCTACTCTCCCCTACTTTACTTCAGGAACATGCCAACTGGACTTAAGACTTCTTGGGTAATTCTAATGTCCATCTACGACACTTCCTCCGAAAAATATAGACGTAGATTGAGATAAAGATATAGGCATAGAAACAAGATACATGGTTTGGAATGGGGCATGGTAGAGTGCGACACTTACTGTCACAGGCTGGGCTTCAAAATGTTTTGCTGTGTGGAGAAGATTTGAAATTGGATGCGATGGGCCAGACTTCAAGTTTTGTCGGTGGGAACTGATACAGGGGAAAAAAGCGAAAAACACAAAGGCTGAAAACATCTGGATGCAGCTTGGTTGCGTAATGAGCTCAAGCAGTTCAGACACCTCCAGAGTCGCCATGTCAAGAAACAGATAGGCAAAGGCATGAGGGCAAATCGCTGAACCAACCATGAGTTTGACATCTACACCTGCACCCGAAGAACGGACAAGTCCCAACAGCAGGTTAATGGTGGTTTGCTCCATGGAATTCTGATTCTTGTCAAATGTGAAAATACGAGTTTGGAAGAGGAATCCTCTCCGGGTTCGTGTTCGCTTTTCATGGCTTTCACTTTGGATTTGGGACGGCTCCACATATGCATGTATGTCTGTATATATATTTATATAGGTATTCATTTACAAAGTCTCACGCTACACGGCTACCAAGGGACAAGGTGACACTCTCCTTTTTCTCTTTCACATCCAAAGCTCTCCGAGCCAACGGCCAAGTCCAATGAAACCTTAATTTGTGGAGGATTTCCTTGGGTCGCTGCAGCCTCGCAGCCTGATCAGCGAAGCCAGATCCCTGGCATACTCATCCCTGGTCCCTCCAGGGATGTGTCTGACCTCCAATGCACTAATACCGGAGGCATTCATAAAAATTGGAATATCCGGATAACGGCCGCGAGAGGAAGCTTCAGTAGCCGGTAGTTAAAATAGGAGGAAAACATGGATCCTGAGATCCTAGCCGAGAAATCGGGTCAGCCCAGTTCGCTTTAGATGGGATGTATTCCCAATGCGAAGAGACAATCAATGCGAAAAGAGGTACATGAATGAATCGTGGCAGCTCTCTTCCACCTCCAAGCTGTCACTACGTCCTCTGTGGAGACACATGAGGCCGGCGACCCAGATACCTTGTCGACCACGGAATTCATGAGGCCTGGCTAAAAGCGCATGCGCAATCATGAGCACCTCCAACTGAGCAATCTCGTGGTCACCGAACCAATAGTCATAGAGTTCATCCGGCAAATCAGCGACAAAGGCTTCCCGAGGTCTCCCTGGCGATGGGTGCCATGCAAAGGATGAGGTAGTTGCCCGATCCTTGCCTTGGTGCCTCCAAAGCTGCATCTGAAGTGACGAGCACTCTGCCTACTGGTTGGCGTCTGATCCATAAACTGTCGATGCGGTCGAAGTTGGAGAACCGCTTCCACGACCTCAAAACACTTCTCCAAGCGAGCTGAGAGAAAGTCATAGTCCAGGCCTAGGAATAAGGTCTCATTCTCATCCAACGGCTGCTGTTTCGCAAAAGGGCTTGCCCAAGAGCTCCTTCAGCATACCAAAGGACCTTTGGAGTCTTCGGCCAAGAGCCTCTGCAAATCGACTGTAGCGGTTGAGGGCAAGCCGAAGAGCAGGCAGGCTGCTATAGACCTGGAAAGCTGGTTCTTGCCATTCATCGTGCCAAAAAATAACCACACACGCAAGCGACTCATCAAAGTTGATGGGCGAGTGTCGGTAGGCTTGAGGCCAGTCTCGCCCGCTCCCAACCATGTGTCTGACCGACAAGAATGGGCCCAGAGCTCCTCCGACATCACCGACGCCACCGCTGCGATATGTTGGGCTGGCCTCAAAGGCGTGCAAAGAACTAGCTTGCTCTGGTCCGAGGAGAGTGACCTCTGCCCTCCTCTAGCGGCATCGTCAATGATCCGCTGTTTGCTGTTTGCCTGGGTAACAGCACATCTTGGTATCAGACGGAACCTCTGCCCTTTCAAGACTGCAAGCAATAATTCTGGCTTCTTCACAGGCTGCGAGCAGAACCCTTGACTGCTCCAACATAAAGGCATCATCCTTACTCGGCCGCAAACTATGCAAGATATCTGCATTGTTGGACTCCGCTCCATCAAGAACTTCATCAAGCGACACGACAAGAAAGGAGCAGCGTGAAATGGGAAGACTCCATAGTTCGGCGCAAAACCTGCTGTCGGCAGACCAGTAATCAGGCCACAGGGGTACGAAAAGTCGCCCCAGGACAACAGAATCATCAACAAACCTGGCAACCCTATTTTTCTTGTGGCCGTATAACCTTCTGGATTGCCTTCGTTTGGAACTTCCTGAAATGGACCGATACCGACTTCCACCGATTTGCCAACTCCTTGAGGGCCCCAATTGCCCGCTCTGGAAGGCGGCCATTCGACCATAGTGCGACACCCTAGACGCCACCACGAAGCGAGTCATCGTCCAACAACGGGTCGCGATCCAAGGGTTCATGCAACTCTTGGAAATGCCCCTCCATCTCCAACCCAAACGACACCAGGGGCGGCAATGACTCAGAGCACCTGGCTGCCTTCCATCCGCATGCCGCTGCACCAATCGGCTTGCCGCTGTAGAGTCCGCAGGGACCAGAGGGCCATCCCAGGGGAGGCCTTCCTCCATCCGCCATTCGAGGTACCCCACAAAAGGCTCCTGGTTGGTAATGTCCTTTGTGGGCTTGGGGCCGCTAAACAGTCCCCGGGATACAGCTTCCTGAAAGCCGACACTACGGTCTCCTGCGCAAAGAACCCGAGCTTGTGTCCTGCTGCGACTGTGGGAAGAAGCACTGATCTCCATCCCGGCCATGGTGTAGAGGGTTCAGCTCGCAGCCCAGTACCTCTGCTGTAAAGCACGCCTAGCATCCGGAGCCAGAGCTTCAATCACCAGGACAGCATGTCGGCTCGCAAAATGGGTACAATCACAAACAAGCACCACACCCTTCAACTCCTGCAAGGGCTCGGCCAGGTTGGACCTCACGCGCTCAACATACTGTGCCAACATGACATAGAAAAACCGGTGTATGATCTTTTTCTGGCATGATGACGCATGCAGAGACTTAGGTGCTTCGCTGTTTGAAGAATGGAACTTTATGCTAGACATACGGCTCGGTTATGTGAGCATCTGTAAAAGAGTTGCTGGGCACACTCATTGGGAGATCTTTTTTTGGCACCGCGGCATTGGACCGTTTGTGTTTCTTTTGACGGAAGCCATTTTTAGCTTCAATTTCTGGAAGGCCGCTTCTTTTGTTTCAGTAGGCGAAGCCAAAAATGGCTTCATTTTTGGGATCAAACTTTGGCTTCGAGTTTGGAGCCAAAACCCTTTTTTGGAGTTCGTGGCAGATAATGCCCGCTTGGCTTGTGTTGGAAGCGGCAGGATGCGAGCAGAGTGAGTTGTCGCTGCTCTGCTGTGGTTCTACAAGCATGATTCCGGCAGCTAAGCTCTGAAACAAATCCCTTGCCACAGGCTGCTCCATGACGGTGTATCCATGAGTTGACACATGCTGCCTTCCAGGCTTCAAGACGATGTAACGGAACTGCAGAAGTACTTCCAAGTGTCTCCAAAGTTGCTGGGTTTTGGAGAAGCTTGTCCTGGTGCCCTGAAAGGGTCATGCTGTGGCGTGGCATTATGGGCTTTACGAGATTTGGCGACAAGCGTGTCAATGATTTGGATTTGCTTTAGGGTTATGTAGTTGGAGTCGCATGCTTGCACCGGGAAATTCCATGCAGGCGGATCTGCATACACCTCGCTTCCCGTACGTCTTGATCATCTATTCTTTACACGTCCTTTTGTTTGCAACGCTTTGTTCCTCTTCCTTCTGCTGTATTTTCATATGTACAAACCTCAAACAAACCTTGTTAATGTCTGCGCGCAGCTCATTTCATTGAGGAATGAGCACTTTCTTGGTGACACCTTCGATGTGCTGTGTTTTCATATGTACAAGCTCCAGACATACTTTGAAAACATCTCTGTGCCCCGCATTCTATTGGAGAAAGCCATGCCATGACCACACCTTCGATCTGTTGTTTTTTCATATGTACAACCTCAATCAAACTTCAATTCTAGGCAGCGGAGGAAATCTACAGTTGCCGCGCGCAAAAAAAGAAATTAATTGAACTTTCCTTTAAATCCTGTCGCACCTGATGGCATGGTCCGGCCCCATAGATTTGAGGTTTGAACAAGGTTTGCTTGGGGTTTGTACATATGAAAAACCAGCATGCCAGAGCTTTGCCACTTGAAGTGTTCCTGCCATTGTAAACTGTCTGATTGGACGCGTATTCCGAATTTGTTCGGGGTTGTACATATGAAAACACAGCATTCTAGAGTACTGGCAGCCATCGTGCTTTTCTCGAGTCTTTTCTTGTTGGGTTGGTGCTTGCTTATGTTGCCGGAAGCTTTAGTACAGACCTCAATGTTTGAGAGAGAATGGCAGGTCCATGTGTCTCACAGGAAGTTTGCCACTCAGCAACTACTGTGTCTGTAGCCTGGCTGCTGGCTTTAGATTTCATCTTTACTCGATGTGTATCCCCTTGCCCCGGAATTTCAATGTTGGATGTTGTGCAAACGGGAGGCCTCTTAGATAGATCCCGCACCGGCGCGTTCGATTTTTCACATCTTTTCAAGTGTGGAAGCCTTGCTACATTTAGAGTTGAGACATTGGGCACTTGCAGCTTCATACGCTGGGTAGAAGAGACAATATGATGATGTTACAGGTCACCTGAAGGTTGACAATGCCCTGCACCCGTCCTTCTTTCCAGGCCGAGTGCTGCCGACACTTCAAAAGTTGCAGAAGTGGCAGAACCCAAGAGTGAAGGTTCGGCTATGAGATGTCAGGGGGTAGTACGGCATCCAACCCCTCCACCCCCGTAGACTCTTAACGCCTGGTGTGTCTGTGTGTGTGTTTCCTCCTGCTTGAACCAGCCGTGGAGTAATTCTATTCCACCATAAATAACAGTGTATTCTTGAAACGGGCCAAAATTACTCCACGCATTTTGTACTGGCCCTGCCATATATTTCTGCATTTTTTACTCCATGGATGGTCTACTCCATATTTACTCCACATCTTCTCTATTGGCTGAAGCATGTGGACGCCTCTTGGAATTACTCCGCCGGCCTTTTTAGTTTGTTGGTTCAGACATGGCTGCTTATATCTGTGTCAACATTGGCATTGGGGCAGAGGAGAGCTCATTGAATCCAATTCAAGCCTCAGAAAGTATTGTGATTCTGGAGACTAATGTGTGTACCTCCTCAGTACCGTGGAAGCCAATCATCAAAGCACAGTCATGTCCGGGCGTAAGTGGCGAGGCCAGTTCGCAGAGCCGGTGACGGTGATGCCCTTGCCAAACATAGATATGACCTGGGGGCAGCTTGCCATCCTGGATCACCTCCTCGACATGAACACGTCGCGGTACACGAGAGGCCTCTCGAAGGTCTGGCGGAAGCCTTAAACCAATCCCCAGCGGCGCCATCGCCCACTCCCTCATTGACCAAGGGTCGAACTGCAACCAGTGCTCCCGACGACCATTCGTCTCGACTGGAGGCACCCCATCCGGACCGCCCATCATTGGATCCCACTCCGACGGATCGTGGAGGTGATGGCGCTCCACCACGGGCCATAATCATTGCGACACCTCCAAGATGTTATGGCGCAATCTCTGGCGCTTGCATCTCGCCGCCATGAAGCTACATCCTGAATACAAAGTGTCCAGCCAAAGCCCTGATGCCAACATTTTGCGCTCCTGCTCCAACTCCCCCCGGCCTGGTATCGGAACATCAGGTCAAGCGGAACCTCCAGGAACCTTGTGGAATCCGCTCCAGGCTGATCTTCTTCAGCCTTGGGCATAGTGTCAAGGTAGGTCTCCATCGTCTGGACGCAAGGCTCCTCTGCATCCGGCGCCTCAGTGAAAAGGCCATCCCCCAACTTACGCTGCTTGTTTGTTGTGAGCAGCTGCCACTGCAGCTTCCTTCGCCTTGCAGATGGATGTCACACAACATCCTCTTGGTCAGCTCTCGAGACACTCTCGATACAGTGGCATCACTAGGATACATCTCCGTAGGGAAGCGGAGCCGGTACCGGCACCAAAAGGACTGCATTGCTGTCCTCAGCTCGCTGTCATCCAACAACGAATCTAGGTTGGATACCACGACCTTGGAGCGATCCTGCTCCGCCCTCTTGTAGTAGAGGTTGACTGCGTTCCAGGCACGTCTCAGCCTGGCAGCTTGCACACCGGCGTCCTCGCCGAGCTTGAGCTTAGAGCACCAAGTCCCAATCTTGGTCTTCTCATCCCAGAAGAACCGGAACTCTTCCAGGTCCTGAATCTGCTCCTTCACAGCAAGGCGTCCGATGACCAACAGATCTAAGTTGAACTCAGACTTGAGTTTCCCCAACCGCTCCGCTGGTCCCATTCTCTTTGGGAACAAACATGGCTAGCCCAGCTTGACTAGCCTTGAAGGAAAAAACTTCCGCGTCAAAATCATACCATAACGACACCGACGGCCCCAGACACCCCCGACCTCGCGGTGTCCTCTGCCCCTGACATCGCCTGACCGGGGAGGGGATCGACATGCCGCCGTGCAGTTCGCACTCTAGAGCACTGGAACATGTCACTCATGGCAACTGCGACACAACATTATAACCCTGGAACCGAAGCACTAGGCAGAGCGATACTTTCGACACAAACAAATTTAGATAATCAGGGCTCGTGGTAGCCTAAGCCAAACCACCACAACTCACCACCGTTCTTCAACTTGAGGATGAGAGACGGTACCTCTCGCTGATTGCGGCCATCTTCTCCAAGCGGCGATCGGCCGGATGGAGGGCCACCGCCTCCGGTATCTCAATCTCCTCGGTGTCCTGCTTGGCCTCCAGCGTCTCCAACTCCACTGGCGCAGCTGGCTTGGGTTCATCTATACCTTCGCCTTCTTCTTGGCCGCCAGCATTTTTTCTTGGGGCGGGACAACACCTGCATGCCCCTTTGCTCAGAGTCAGAACTCCCTTTCGCCTCCGCAGGCTGCTCACTCTCCTCTTTGGCCCGCTTCCGCCCCGCAACTGGCAAGGCAGGGGGCGGTGGCCCGGCGGGCTAACCAGCCTCGATCTTCCTCTTCGCCTCCTCAGTTTGAGGTGTAGGACTCGGAGTCACTCTCTGATTCAGGCTCACTCTTCGCCTCGGACTCGGCCTCCGCCTTTGGCGTAACCTCTTGTGCCGATGACAAGGTGGCCTTGGCAGCTGGATGGCGCCCTCCGCAGGCTCTCCCCGACTGCAGGACCACTGCAGATGCTTGTTGCCACAAACTTCTTCGCCTGCTTGGAATATATTGGAATGACCATGTTGTAGGCAGCGCAAAGTCTAACTCCATTCTTGAAGTACTGGGTAAGCAGGTGGTACTGTGCCGGCATAAGCTCTTCACCTTGAGCTGGTCCTTTGGCCCTACTCTGACAACCGGAACCTCGTCTGGGCCTCATCCTCCGTCAATGGCGATGACCAGACGGTCTCTTGCCACCGCACGGTCCACCTCGGCCATCGCCTTCGCATCAGCTGCCTTGAGAACTTCTTCGGGCAACATCTCCCACGCTTCGCATGTCGCGAGCTCGGCAACAATGTTCAACACGCGGTGTTTGCCACGAAGAGATTGCGTATAACGTGCAGCACTATAGTGCAGCGGCATCGCCGCTTTGGAGCTGGAGAGATCGCTCTTGGCCTGCCAATCTCCAAGAGCAAGCAGCTCTTCAGGGCCGAGGTGCCACATGTGGCCGGAGTGCGACGTGTTGGGCTGCCAACTTTGCAACGTCATCCAAGGAAAACGGGTACCTCCCGCACCAAAGACCAACGTTCTTCTCCTCCGATAGCTTGGAGTAACTCTCCAGCCAACCCTCAACCCAACTGAAGCCTGTGGTGAAAGTCGATGGGGCACGCCAGTAGAATCCCTCACGGTTTTGCGACTGCTTGCCCTGACAGCAAAAGGCATGGAAGGAGCTCTTGGTGATCTTGCGTGGGGTACTCGAGCATGGACACATGCCGATACCTCAGGCATCCAGCACCCACCAACGACGACCCGAAAAGAGGCATCCATTCGGGTCCTTCACCCGCTGCGGCTGCAATCTTCGCCTCCAAGAAGCCCAGCATCGGAGGCTCCAAAACAATGGCCTGCTGGTGCTTCCTCTGCTTCTTATCCTTGGCTCGGGAACGCTCACCTTATCCAACGGCCACCCAAGCCAACCATTATTGCTCAACCATCGCAAGGCATTGAGGCCCCGCACAGGTGCTTGAGTGCTATCGTGCAGGAACGTCTCGATGTCAATGGCCTCCGGCCTCCGGTCCCTGTCTCTCAGGGCAAGATGCTCCTCAAACTCATTCCAAGTCCGCAGGGCGTTCACTATTATTGTCGTCTTGTCGCACTTCGTGACCTTCTCCTGCGCTAGGCGACGCACCGTGTGGGTCCATTCCGCAATTAGCTGCCTTGGCATTGGAGATGCGGCTGGCTTGAGGACCCCATTGCTCTAAAAGCATTGCGCAGCATGTCGACCCTTTGAACTATCTGCTCAGGAGCCTCCTTGCCCAGAGCCAACCTAGCCATTGATTGGCCTTTTCACGGGAGCCGCGTAAGGCTTGGCAGGGGGCTGAATGCTGATGACGATAGTCCCTCCACTGCTGCAGCACCCGCTGGCATGAGGTACTTGTCCTGCTCAAGGCGCACCCGCCTCGGCGAAAGCAAAATCTTCGTCGGCCAGCAGCGAGTTCTTCTCGTGGAATTCCTTCACTCGAGCCACTTGCACCTGAGCCAAGTTGCTGTCAGCATCGGGTTGGGCAGCTTATAATTATAGAACATAATGCTCTTGGAATACCACGGCTCCCACCGCCTATAAACTACGGCTTGATGTGCGAACTTGCCCGATGCTGTCGATGAAGCCCAACCACCAACCACAACAGCATTTGCCAAGCCCCGACCACGAAGGGGAGACAAGCAGGGGGATCTAACCGGGCTGAAGCCTGAGCACCTCCTCCCTGGCCTCCCAAACTTCACGATCTCATTGGTCCATCTCCAGGTCTGGCTCTTGGCAAAGGTTGCAGGAACGCCCGGCACGCCACCCCACATGATTTGGCCCTGTCGATGGCCTCCAGCGAAAACCAAGGCTCTGTCCAAACTCGAGCCCTCCCTTGCCTTCCAGAGCTCGAAGACCTCCACCACCGAGACTCCGTCATGCCCCAAGCGCAGCCTCGACAGCAGGCGTCGGACATGAAGCGGCAGGAGATCCTCTCCACATAGCGCCCCTGGAAAAGGCATCGTACCGACCAATCCAGTTAAGTCACCGCAATGGGAGATCATCGACTAAAACGGCCCGGCAGGGCACAGAGTACAAATCCGGTAACTCTGGAGCGACCCATCCTTCGTCCATTCCTGGAGACGCTCCGCACAGCAGGGTTTCGACAACCAGTCCCCAAACTGCCCGCGCCTCCCCAAGTCTCTCTTGGGTGAGGAGGTCCACCATATCCACGCCGCAAGGTGGAGAACCTTCACAGGCGTAGCATGGAACCCCACCGGTAATGCCATGCACGTGGTCCCTCCCGGTAAAGAAACACGAAAAATCTTGCTATTTTGGATCAAGGCACTTGAGCCAAAATATCAAGAGGATGAGAACTTGATAAATGATTTGTGAAACTCTAAGCCTTCCAAACCTGATTCACACACACACATATATATATATATGTGTGTGAATATCTACTGTAGGTATATCCTACTGCAGTTTCAAAAGAGCCTGCGCAGAAAAACCCGTTGACTGAAAAGTCGGTGGCTGCACTGGAACTTTGCTTTCTTGTCTGAACGGCCTTGGGAGAGAGAAATCTCGTTTCAAGAAATGAGCAAAGCAAAACAAGAAACGTTGCGCAATGAAAACCCGCAAAGCATAAGGCAGTAACTTTATCCAACAGAAGGAAGCAGACGCGGCGCTAACTATGCGACACAAGACCCTTCCTTCACACACACGCGCATATATATATATATTAATACAAGAAGCCTAATAGCTGTAACAGGGAGCACAAAGAAGAGCGCGATTTTTGGCACGAAGGAGAGCACAAAAAAGCACGATCTAGAGCACGGTTTTTGGCACGAGGGAAAGCACCAAAAAGCATGATCTAGAGCACGGTTTACGGCACGAGAGAGAGCACCAAAAAGCACGATTTTTGGCACGAGGGACATCAACAAAGAGCACTATTAGTGCACGAAGGAGAACACCAAAAAGCACGATCTAGAGCACGATGTTTCGACAAAGGAGAGCAATTCACGAAGGAGAGCACCAAAAAGCACGATTTTGGGCACGAAGGAGAGCACCAAAAAGCACGATCTAGAGCACGGTTTACGGCACGAGAGAGAGCACCAAAAAGCACGATTTTTGGCACGAGGGACATCAACAAAAAGCACTATTAGTGCACGAAGGAGAACACCAAAAAGCACGATCTAGAGCACGATGTTTCGACAAAGGAGAGCAATTCACGAAGGAGAGCACCAAAAAGCACGATTTTGGGCACGAAGGAGAGCACCAAAAAGCACGATCTAGAGCACGGTTTTTGGCACGAGGGAGAGCACCAAAAAGCATGATTTTTGGCACGAGGGAGAGCACCAAAAAGCACGGTTTTGTGCACGAGGGAGAGCACCAAAAAGCACGATCTAGAGCACGATTTTTTGCACGAGGGAAAGCACCGAAAAGCACGATTTTGTGCACGAAGGAAAACACTCAAAACAACCAACGTTCGCCCAACATATCAAGATTTCCTTTTTTTGACTGTTGCAGCTATTAGGAGGGACTCAAAATCTATTTATTTATTTATATATATATATGTATGTATGTATGTATGTATATATATATATAGAGAGAGAGAGAGAGAGTATGCCCAATCAAAGAAATCAAGGCCCAGAGGGGGCTATCTTCACATCTCCACTCCAGTTGCAGATTTTCAAACGTAATTAAATGCACGGTCCTGCCGGCGTGTTTTGTGGATTATTTGTTACTCATCTTTGTAGTAGCTGCAGCTACCATGGAGCCTGAAATCTCCTCCTCGACGGACTCTTGTTCCGGCTGCCCTCCCCCACTCCCCTCCATCCTTCATCATCCTTCATCATCCTTCATCATCCTTCATCATCCTTCATCATCCTTCATCATCCTTCATCATCCTCCATCATCCTTCACCCTTCCATCATCCTTTCATCGTCCTTTCATCATTCTTTCAGCATCCTTTCATCATTCTTTCATCATCCTTTCATCATCCTTGATTCTCTTTGTCTTCTTCACCCTTTTCGCCCTCTTTGTCCTCTTCGTCCTCCCTTCTCTCTTTCTCCTATTTCTCCTCTTCTTCCTCTTCCTCTTCCTCTTCCTCCTCGTCCTCCGCTTCCTCCTCAGCTTTGTCAGATCTCCGTCTCGTCTGCCGTTGCTCCGGCCAGCCACTGGGATGCTGCAGTTTCCCCATTTTCTCACTGTTCAATGTGTGCTCAGGGCAAAAAAGACCTACAAAACACAGCTTTTGCGTCGGCCGAATCTACATCATTTGTCTTTCACGCCAGGAAGCTGTTACGCCAACCAGCTTTTGCGCAAACTGGCTTCTGCCCGAGCTAGCTTTTTCGCAAGCCGGCTTTTACACGAACTAGTTTTTACACGGACTATCATTTTACACCAACTAGACCTTGTACACAAGCTAGCTTTTACCCACGCTAACTTTACACCAACACAAAACCCAGGTTTTACACCAACCAGCGTTTACACTATCTACCTGTAACTAGCTGTTGCACAAACTGGCTTTTACACCAACCAGCTTTGCACAAACTAGCTCTGACACGGACTAGCTCTTACATAACCCGGTTTTTACGCAAAAGAACTTTTTCACAACGAACTCTTACACCAACCGGCTTTTGCACCAACTGGGTTTACGCAACTAGTTTTTGCACAAACTGGCTTTTAACACTAAGAAACTTTTACATAACAAGCACGCGGCATTTAATTATTCTACAGGCTTTGCCTGGCCCACATCCATGAGGCCGCTGGGCCAGAGGCCGGTGAAATAGGATAGGTGGATGCCTTTAAATATAGGTAGGGAGCTTGCATGGTGGTAAAACTTGCTTGGGCACTAGTTGTGAAGGTGATCATATATATATATTTTTTTTGGCTTCTTGCGAAAAGATATCCATGTTTGCACAAGGCAGCAGGCAGAAACGCAACGCCATATCAGTCTTGTGCACTTTTCTGTTTTCGTGCGTTTCTGCTTTTCTCCGGCGCCTAACCTAGGTTCCGGACAATTGACTGCTTGGGCGAAATGGTGGTCTTGAAGACGGACGCGGCGGTATTTTCGATAAAAGTGATCCGGACTCCTCTGCGCTCCTGCAGCTGGTCAGCTGACATGTCTGCTGCAAGCACTCCAAGAAATCTAAAAGAAGCTGGCCTGCTGAGTTGAAGCCTCATCCAGCCATTCCTACACCTCACTCAGCTGTGCGCCCGTGCTATACCCATGTTACATAAACACATACATGCATACATACAAACATACATACACACTTACAAAATCTTAAGTACATACATGCATACATGCACACACACATACATACATACATACATACATTCATTCATACATACATACATTCATACATACATACATTCATACATACATACACACACACATACACATACACATACATAAAAACATATCGACAAACACAAACATATACAATATACATGAGCATTTACCAAAAACATACACATACACATAGTTGCATGCATGCGTGCGTACGTATGTACGTACATACGGGTACATACGGGAACACACGCACATACATACATACTTACATACTTACATACTCACATACTGACACAACTTACACACTCACATACATACATACATACATACATACATACATACATACATACATACATACATGCATACATGCATACATGCATACATGCATACATGCATACATGCATACATTCATACATGCATACATGCATACATGCATACATGCATACATGCATATATGCATACATGCATACATGCATACATGCATACATGCATACATGCATGCCTACATACATACATACATACATACATACATACATACATACATACATACATACATACATACATACATACATACATACATACATACATACATACATACATACATACATACATACATATACACACACATACATACATACATCCATCCATCCGTCCATCCATCCATACATACATACGTACTCACCAAACATTACATTACATTACCTTACCTTACCTTACATTACATTACATTACATGCGTTCATTACATACATACGTGCAGAACATACATGCATAACTACATACATGCATGCATACATGCATGCATGCAAACATGCATACATACGCGCATACATACATACATGCATACATACATACATACATACTTACCTTACATTACCTTACATTACCTTACATTACCTTACATTACCTTACATTACCTTACATTACCTTACATTACCTTACAT